CCCTACTTCGACGCCGCCAGCATCTCTCCGGCGGCCCCTCCCCTTCGCGGGCAGGGACTCCCCCGGGGCGGCAGCAACAGCTGCGAGGGGGCAGGAGCCAGCAGGGCGGGCACCGGCATCCTCGGCAGACGCAGCTTCCTCTCGGCCTCCTCCTCTGCCCGCCTGGTTTCCAAGGCGGGGAGGCCGCGTTGCGCGCTGTGGGGTCTTGGGCCTGGCCTAGGCTTCTGCGTGGGCCTTCTGGAGGAGGGGGCAAACGGGCGTTTTGCCTGGTGGGCTAATCTGGGGGAGAAATGGCGGGGAGGAACTTGTGAAAGGGGGACGATGAAAGGCGGGGATCGGCGCGCCTTCGGAGCAGCGGCTGGAGGGCACTCCGGCGAAGTTAAAATTGGAAACAGGTTTCCCTCAGAGGCCCAAAGAAGGGCAGCTGCACCAGGCAAGCTAGGCACGGCAAGAAACTGTGGCATCTCCCCACAGCAAACATCAGGGGCAGGCTGGCTGCTTAAGTTACAGGGAAGGTTGCCAGTGGGCCAGAAACAAGCAGAGCCAAGCCTTGGTAGCCCCAGTGCTTCAGAGGCCGTTCAGCTCCTCCCTGGAGTCCTCTGCCAACCAGGAGGCAATTTAGGGTTGCCAGCTCCGGATTGGAAAACACCTGCATATTTGGGGTGTGGAGTCTGAGGAGGGCAGGGTTTGGGAAGGGTAAGGTCCTCAATTAGAGTATACTTGCCATAAGTTAAAATTGGAAACAGGTTTCCCTCAGAGGCCCAAAGAAGGGCAGCTGCACCAGGCAAGCTAGGCACGGCAAGAAACTGTGGCATCTCCCCACAGCAAAGATCAGGGGCAGGCTGGCTGCTTAAGTTACAGGGAAGGTTGCCAGTGGGCCAGAAACAAGCAGAGCCTTGGTAGCCCTGCCAGTGCTTCAGAGGCCGTTCAGCTCCTGCCTGGAGTCCTCTGCCAACCAGAGGGCAATTTAGGGTTGCCAGCTCTGGATTGGAAAATACCTGCAGTTTTGGGGGGGGGAGCCTGAGGAGGGCAGGGTTTGGGGAGGGTGAGGTCCTCAATTAGAGTATACTTGCCATACAGGCCACCTTCCAAAGCAGCCATTTTCTTCAGGTGAACTGATCTCTATCACCTGGAGGTTGGCAAACCTAGCAGTGGTGCAGGAGGAGGCAGTGAGTGAGGCAATACCCACCGATTTCACCCACCAGAGGTCTGAGCTGAGTAGTTCCTCCGGTGCCTGCTCATAGAGCAGCCACTCAGCATGGCTTGCCGCAGGGCCATTTTAACTTCCCAACATAGGATTGTACACTTGCCTTTAAACACTGGCATTTGGGAAACTTTAATCAGGCCCAGTTTCCCAGATGGTGTGGAATAAAGATGCGTGTACACCTATGAGTGATGACCAGACATCATATATGTTCTGTGGCAAATTCAAGTATCACACTAGTGTTTTCCTGCAGCGATTGGACTGCATGAAGTTGCCATTAGATTGACATTTCATTGACATAGAAATGTAACAGGTGGGGCGCTCTTATGGAAGGCACACAGCAGCTTCTAAAGAGCTGATCAGCACCGAGTGCTGACCAGGTTACAGCCACATCTTACTCATTCATTGTAATCAGGGAGCCATGTGTTTTTTTCAGATACCTGCCCCCAGCCATCCATATGTCACTGCCACCTCCAGTTTCAAAAGACACACTGTTCAAAATAAAAAAGAAATCCATCTGAGATCACTGAGATTTACTCCTAAAATGCCTTTATGTGCCTTCGGTGTCTGCCCAGGTACCTAGCTAATCCTGCAGTTGTTCTTGTAATCCAGACAAATGCTGCATGGTGTCGTGATTAGAGTGTCCGACAGTGATGGCGAACCTTTTAGAGACCGAGTGCCCAAACTGCAACCCAAAACCCACTTATTTATCGCAAAGTGCCAACACGGCAATTTAACCTGAATACTGAGGTTTTAGTTTAGAAAAAATAACTCATACATTAACATCTTTTGTCTTAAAAGAAAAACACAATAACAGAGCTTTCAATGATACAAACAACTTTTTATTGAAAAGTAAAAGTTTGCATTTGGCATGCTTTTGAACAATTAATGTGATTTTTGCTGTTGTATGCATGCTGATAATTTCTCTAACCTTGGCTCATACTTTGTAAGTTTGAGAGCAACACGTGCAGCACTCAGGTCATCTGTTAGTCTGTTTCTGGTGTCAGATTTGATATTATTCAGAGCTGAAAACAGCTGCTCACAATTATAACATGATTCAAACAAAGTAAGGAAAGTACAAAGTAAGGAAAGCAATCCTTCTATCTTCTCAAGTGTTTCACACAGGTCATATAATTTATTTTTCCAGATAGAGCTTTCTTGAAATTCCAGTAGCTCCATTTCCACATTTCCTAAATCTAACCAGGAAAGATCAAGTCTGGAGCCTTA